AACTTACTCAACATAAAAGGCACATGATAATGTCTATAAAGGCTTTAAATAGTCTAGAATGGTAACATTCACGAAATAATATTATTCATATAAGTTTAACCTACTGTCAATGAATCAATATCAAGCCTTACTAGGCCTACGATCGAGAATTCTCCCGACGTAGCCCGCTAGACATCATTCTATACGGCTTCGAACTTAACATAAAGATTATTCTGGGCCTAGGAAATACATAACATTACGATAAAATTCGCAAGCAGAACTTGCTCAATCATTATATAAGTAATTAATACAATCAAATATATAACATACCAGTAATCAGTTAACAAAGATCATTCTATTCAGATCGCAAAATTCTTAAGTTTCTTGTCTATCTGTACGGTGCATTTCTCAGTATGTCTTGACTCAATCAATGCAAACGATCCACTGACTACTTGGTCTCGATCAGGGTTGCCAGATAGTCGACAGTCTTCACGGCCAGACACACGCCATCTCACGGCCAAATTCGGCCAAACTTTTTTTCGATATCGGCCAAAATTCGGCCAGATTTTAATCCGATTAGAAGACAAAAGTAGGTACATAATTACACGAAAATCAGCGGTCATTCGTTAGAAATGTAAGAAATTCAAATGATATACACAGAACAATGTTAAACTTTCACTGTTTTTCATCTTTTAATTATCACCATAAAATACATGCCCAGCTACATCATTATAAATAGCCTATGTTCTTTAGTTAGTTGCTGGCATGTAGGCCAATTCAAGGGCGAATCCACAGATGTCCGAAAGTTGGAGGGGCTGGGGCCGAAAAAGATAACAACGTCTTGGAGAATTCTTTCTAGACGCCCGAAAATAACCTCTGATGCGTTTGGGCGATCAATTTTTCTTTATTTTTCTTTTCATCCCCCCCCCCACTCCCCACCCCTAAATCCGCCTCTGCTTTTTAAAATCACATTATTAAGATTGATCTAAATTTGATTTAAATATATTACATATTAAGGTACATTGTAATCGATCTATAGCATAATGATTTTGGATGAAACACACATTTTGCAGAAACACATGCGTGATCCATAATTTATCACGCATTTAGCACAAATTTATGCGTGTATAACGAATTATCACGAATTCAGGCTACAAGTACCAGTACCAGTACCAGTAATTAAGTCATTAGAGAGTACTTAATATTTATGTGAATATTTGTTTCACTGACGCGGTAATAAAAATTTAACAGTGAAATGTTTAGGTCAACATAGTTCGGGTGCTCAATTACATTGAAACTAAAACTATTTTTGCTTATGTCACCGTTATTGTCAAGACACACTCCCTGAAATCGTTTTAAAACAGCTTTAATGCTCAGATCGTCGGAGCGTCTGGGGCCATGCCCCCTCGACCCCAACTGGGGTATACAATCTAACTCTAGAGTAACTTCGAAGAAGTCTCTGGCACAACGCTTGCTTGAAATTGGAGGTGCCATCGGACCCGAATGATCATCGAGTTCTACATAAAGAACACTGCAGCACCTAGGCCTATACAATTCAAGTGGGCAATAATAAATTAATTAAAGTACAGTATTTAATTTATATTTAAAATTGATTCCAAAGAGATAGAACCACTAGGATGGAACATATGCAAACACACACAATATATGGTACAAACTTGCATTGAACTGTCTTCTTGAAGCTTAAATGAGGATAAACTTCATATAAAATAATAATATTTCATCCGAACAATTTAAATTATTAAATGTAACTGTTATCTTTTAAATAAACTCTCTTACGTCCAATCGGCTAAAGGGGTCCGGATAACAGGCCTAGTATAGATTAAGCGTTTAGTGCAATACAAACAAAGGTACATGATTAGAATCAAATATAGAATTTAAGCTAACAAAAACAACATATCCAAAACAAGTCTACGTTATATTAGGCCTATATTGAAAAAAAATGTAAACTTTTTAAAAATTCGGCCAAATTCGGCCAAATATATTTTGGCCGTGACTTTTCAAACGTTACGGCCAGATTTGAGGAATCTGGCCGTCAAAAAGGCCAAATGGCAACCCTGGTCTCGATTTACACCGAGCGCTACTAATTAGCCTAATCACAAGGGTGCTAAAACAATATACACCTACGCAAAGGGGTGAAACAACAAAAGGGATAGATCCCTACACAAAATAAAGTAGTGCACAATAAAAAAAATAGTTAATAAAATAATTCACTTCTCGACACTAGGACAAATAGTTTATGCAACTTGTTAACTATCATTTTCTTTATGTCTCATTTTCTTACAGTTTCGTACAGAAACGTAATTTGAGTTCAAACTGAACATGTTTTCGTAGCAGGGAAATGATATAGGGGCATATTTGTTGTATCGGTTTGACGCTAGCGTGTAGTTGATAACTGACACTCTCTCTAGTTGCCATGCTTTTTCGTCACGCACAAGCATAAGAAGGTTTACTGCGCATGCTCATATTCGGTAATTGAACATCGTCGTTATCTACCTCTCTGCTTTCTTATCTTGTCGGAAAAGTAGACTGATCAAAAGAGAGGATTTTGTTGTGACTCCTTCTAATAACAACTCCCTGGGCTTACTAATATAATTTATAGTGCGTTTATTGCAATTTTCACTTTATCATCTCAGAACAGCCCTAAAAACTTTCAGAGCACGCTACTTTCCAGGGGGGCTTCTCCTCCCCCACCACGTGGTCCTTTGTACCTCGCATAACGGCTTCCCCCTTTAAAAATCCTGGCTACGTCCCTGATGGTGATTGTGTATATTTGGCCGGACCAATAAAAATAGCTTTCGACGCGTCTGGCAAGGCACTTTATCTGCATTGCTTCTCTCAATCCCTGTCTCTTATACACATCTAGATGTGTATAAGAGACAGCTATAGCACAAGAGTTAATGACAACAACCACACATGGTAAAGCTTATCGACAAAAGAAACATGGTT